TCACGCCAGCAGGGGGAAGGGCAGAGGAAGAGGGAGAGAAAGAATCCCAAGCAGGCTGTCTGCTGAGTGTGGAGCCCGATGCCATGCAGGGGTTCCATCTATGACCCTGAGATCACGACCTGAGCCGAAATCAAGAGTCCAAAGACACTTAACTGACTGAGCCACCCAGGTGACCCTCTAAATACAGTTTAAATTGACAGATGTAGTTGTATGTTTGTTAGGGTGGCCAACCATCCTGGTTTGCCTGTGATTGTCCCCAATTTTAGCACTGAAAGTCTCGTGTCCTAAGGAAATCTCTCAGTTCCCTGCAAACCAGGACAGATAGATAGTTGGTCACTATGGTTTATGGAAAATGTCAGTGTGAGGCAACAATATTTCAGTGGCCTTAAAAGAGAAAGGTGACAGAGATAATTTAGAAAGTCTAAGTTCTCTTGTACTAGATAGGTGGACTAAAAGCAAGGAAATTAGTATCTTGACTTTCTACTGTTTTTTTTTTGAAGAACAGGAGTTTGCCTGTATATTTAATATAATTGATACTGTGATACAAAGAAATTGCACCTTTTTCACCATTGCCAAAAATCTGCCTCTATGACTCATTTTCTTGCAGTCAAGGTCTTGTAGTTGTTTGGGAATTAAATCAGGAACGTCGTGGGAAACCAGAACGAATTTATGTGTCTTCAGAGCATAAAGGCCGAAAAGTTACAGCTCTCTGTTGGGACACAGCTATTCTTAGAGTTTTTGTAGGTGATCATATGGGGAAAGTTTCTGCCATCAAACTTAACACTTCTAAACAAGCAAAGGTAAGAATCAGTCCAGTTCTTTGTGTATGTGGGTGAGATATAAGATACTGTCTTACATAATTTGAATTGAAGGACACAGTTATATCTATTATATTTCTTGGAGGACTGATCTAGAGCCCAGACTCTTAATTTTGAGGAGACTTGTTTGTGTGTAGTACATATAGTAGCCTGGTTTAGCTTGATACTGTTGCAGGGTATCTTTTGTGAGTTAACTTCAATAATTTGCACATTGTCTATTACAGTACTCTGTAATTCACCTGTATGGCACACTTAAATTAAGCATTAATACTAGAGTATTAATAAAGTTAAGATGTGGGACACCCGTCTGCCTTCAGCTCGGGTCATGATCCCAGGATCCTGGGATTGAGTCCCACATCGGGCTCCATGCTCAGTGGGGAGCATGCTTCTCCCTGTGTCTGCCCCTCCCCCTGCTTGTCCACGTGCTCTTGCTCTCTCTCTCGCTCGCTCTCTCTGACAAATAAATAAAATCTTTTAAAAAAAAATAAAGATGCCTCTTTTTTTTCTTTCCTTTTTTTTATTTTGAGAGAGAGAGAATAAATGGGGGTAGGGACAGAGGGAGAGAATCTTTCAGACTCCTCGCTGAGCTCAGAGCCCGATGCAGGGCTTGATCCCAGGACCTATGAGATCACGACCTGAGCTGAAACCAAGAGTTGGACGCTTAACTGACTGAGCCACCCAGGTGCCCCGATAAGATGCCTCTTTATTAGTTATGTGAACAAAATGGGAAACATAGAAATGGTATCTGTTGTCCAGGCACCTATTCTCCTGGTCCCTGTTTAGAAGAAACTCATGAGTCTAGGTATGGTATATTTTTTTCTTAGAATGGATGTAACTTACCATAAATTGAACCTTAAAAGGTACCTCCTGAATTGTGTTCAACTGCCGGGGTCCCAGGCTTCCTCCTACAGTTGTTGGAGTAGAAGGGTTAAGTTTCAGGTTATCCTAACAGAATGCTCCTGTGTCTCATTAAGGCAGAGCAGACCAAATTCTTACTGTCCCTCTTCTCTAAAATTGTTGTAGTGGGGAGCTTGGCTTATTTCCACGTAGGATTTTTGCAGGAAAGAAGAAATCTAACTACCATTGGCTTAATTATTTTGTTTTAATTAACACATAAGAATATTCTTCTGATTTGGCCATGGTAACCCATCAGAGTTACCTCTAGATTCCTAACATATTTTTGATCCCAAAAAACATTCGGAACCTTACAGGTAGTATAGCCCTAATTTGTCTTTTTTTCCAAAGGGAGAAGTACTGTTTTCGGTGTGACAAAGTTCTGTCACATGTTCCAAAACTTGCTTTTATCTTTGTCATTCCAGCTTCTAAGATTAGATAACCAGAAACAGAGCCTTAAGAGTTGTCTTCTACAGTTATGTAACGAAGTATTTCACAGCTTTTTAAATGAGTGAAACTTTGATATCCTAACAGGCAAATTAAATTTTGGCCCATTTAAAATTTTTATTTTGCTATCCAAAATTATTTTCACTTAAAAGGTAAAGAGAAAGAAATTGTATGGGTATGTAAAGATGAGTCTTCTTTCCTTGTCATGTCTCTTTTAGGCAGCTGCTGCCTTTGTGATGTTTCCTGTTCAGACAGTAACAACAGTTGACTCCTGTGTTGTGCAGTTAGATTATTTGGATGGAAGACTACTTATATCTTCACTTACTCGATCCTTCTTGTGTGACACTGAGAGGTATATTGACCAACCATGAATCATAGGTTATGCAGAATTCTAGAACTCTCAGAGACTTAGAAGTCATCTAGCCCAAACCCCTTCGTTCAGTAATACAGATGCTAATGAGGAACCAGCTGTGTGCAAGCTAATGTTAGAGAATAGGAAAGACGGGAGACTGAGACAGTCCAGTGGGCAACTAAGACAGATGTTCAGTTAACTCCATGAAGTATGGTCAAAGGACCTTGAGGGAAGGCCCGACAAAGGCCTGTTTCAATATGGGGAATCAGGAAGTCTTCCTTGATTGAATTTGTTGTTGTTTAGATTTGTTGTATGTTTAATAGAATTTTACTAATGGGTAAAATTGGGTGAAGAATAATTAAGAGCTTTGTGAAGCTGACATATTTTACCAAAATCTCAAGGGTGGAACCAAAGGTTCAGTGAATGGCAAAGGAGTGTTTCTCTGAACAGATTGGTCTCTGAAACACCAGAACAAAATAGGAAACAACTTGGAATAGTATTGTGTATCAGAATAAGTATTGTGATACAGAATAAGTATTCTGTGATACAGAATAAGTATTATGTATCACTGTGCTAAAGTTCCTCAGCCATCCTCACTGCAGGGAAATTTTCACTCCTGATTCTTTTTTCCCCACTACCATATTCTTCAGGACCAGCCACCCTTTTGAATATTTATTAAGGAAATTTTGAGCATACATAAAGGAGAATTGTATATTGAATCCCCATGAAACCACTCGGCAGCTTCAATAATTTTGATGATGATTTTTGGTAGGCTAAATTTGGAGTAAGAGGGGAAGGAAGGGACATTCTAGCAGGAAGGAACAGCCTCTTGGGGAAAAGTGAGAAAGAATTAGGCATATTTTAAAACCTACCAGCCTGGCTTAAGTAGGGGAGTTGGGGAAGATCAAGTTGGTAAATTGGCACCATAGAGTGACAGCCTTAAATGTCACATTAATTAAGTGGGTTCTCAGGTCATTTTAAGAAAGTGTGCATATAGAATATCAGGATTTGAAAATTGATGTCCTTAGAATTCTCCAGGCTTGGAAAGTCTTAATTTCCAGGAGTTTATACATCTCAATTAGAAGACTGCTATTCTAGAAAGCAGGAGATTATTACAAAAGGTTTGAAGGAATGTATTCGGAGTCAGGGATGGTAGAGGGAAGGTTGGGGAGAAGGTATACTATGTATTTATTTTCTTGGATGGGAAAGGCATGTGGAAAGGAGGCCAGTTATAGCAGGTGGCAGGTGTCTGATACCAGAGAACCTAGCTGGACAGCAGAGAGGCAAGGCTTTGAGATGCACCTGGTCAGTTTACATGGAATTAGTGGGAAGGAGGATGTACTTGGTTCTGACTTGTCTCAGACAAGTTAGACTTGTCTGAAGTTAGACTTAGAGAATTGGAGATCATCTAGTGTCACCCTTTCATTCTTGCAGATCAGAAAGCCTAGGCATCCCAAGTGATAGAGCATGCCTGCAAAACTAGAACTTTTCTGTCTCAATTCTGTGCCTCTGCTCTTATCTCACAGTTCCCCCAAAACATCCTTTGACGTTGGACCTTTGGCCATTAACTCCACACTTGAGATTTTTAAAGTATTAACTTCACCAAGTTCCTAACTATTTTTGTCTGTAGATTTTCAAGTTTTCCAAGGGACCCAATTTAGAAAGATACATGATAGACTTTTTAAAATAAAGAGCTAAATAAGTAGAGGTTTATTTTTCCTTCTGTGCAATGGAGTTGCTAATCATCATTTTCCCATTCACAGGGATGTGGCTAGAGTTGGTTATGAGAATAACAGATTCTGCTGCTAGAATAACATGTTAAAGAAATGCCCACTTCCTGTTGACTGGAATTCAGTATGGGGGGAAATGGATAGTACAATAATTTTAAAAATACATTTATGTTTAAAATTTTTTGTTTGTTTCAACCTATATTCCCTCCCAACAAACAGCATTTTTTTTTTTTAAGTAGGCTGTACACCCAGCATGGAGCCCAATGCGGGTCTTAAACTCATGACCTTGAGATCAAGACCTGAACTCTGAGATCAGGAGTCGGACGCTTAACCGACTGAGCCATCAGGCGCACCAGCATTTTTATTTTTGAAAAGTGGGCTCTTAGTAACTAATTGAAGGGATAGATACGAATTTTCTTCTCCTGCCAGCCACTGGCTACTTTCTGTTAGTATTGTTGATGAGCAAGGTGGATCCCAGGAAGGAATAGAAAAAATAGAAACAAAGAACTATGGTATAGGGGAGAGAACATTGACTAATGGAGCCTGACAGTATGATTGCAAATTCTGGCTCTGCCACTTTTTAAGCCATGCTAAATGTTGGTTTCCCCATCCAGAAGGTGGAGATAGTTTTAAGGATTAACTAAGATAACGTATATGAAATACTTACTAACCTTGTGCCTGTTACATATTTGAAAATGTAGAAAGCAAGGTTAATGAGCATACGAGTAAGAATGAGTTGCCTATATTTGTTCACTCAGCAAACATTTATTGCACTCTTCTGGACCCTTAGCACTGTATTAAGCATCATAGAGGATATAAGGTAGTCAAGAAATAATTTCCCAAATAAGGAACATAAGTAATAAATCCATAACTTCTTAGATTGCTCTGTATGCATTTCAAGGCACTTTCACATCCATGTTCTTAGGGTATGTACTGTTCTTACAGTTCTTCATATCCTAAAGCTGAGGTTACATTTTACTCATGAAACAAATAAGTACAGGGATATTTATTAAATTATGTCTAAGGTCACCTTGTAAATTCACACTAGAGAGCATATGAGATCATTCTCTACTAGAAGAGTTTGAGTATATGGAGCACTGCAGTGTCTGGTTAGTGCTTTCTATAGGCCAGATGCTGTGCCTGGGCATTAAACTAAAGAAGAGCAAGAAATGGCCTTTGTCTTAAAGAAGGTCGTAATCTATTGTTCTAATAGACACAGTTGCCCTGTATAATGTGGTGAGTGCTCTGGGAAGCATGTAATTCAGCTTATGGGCATTGAAGAAGTCTCTTAGCGGAAGAATGATGAAGTCCTAAAGAATAAGGAAAGCAGGTTTTAGGATGAGACACCTTCACATTGTCACCTTCCATGTTCCCAGGCAGTGTACTAAGCTCTTCTGTCGATTTAGTTTACGTAATCATAAGGGAACAGAATGTTCAAAGTTGCAGAGTTTCAGAAGGACTCAGCATTTGGAGGAAAGAGTGAGGAGTTTACTGGGTGTTTGTAGTACGGGAATGGCTGGAAGACAGGGTTGGAGAGGTAGCTTAGTAGCTTCCATGGAGTGTCCACCTTTTACAGGCGACTTGAGATGGATTTTTTAAATAATTTGTCAATAGGATTTAAGGATATATGAAGTGGTTTGCTAGCACTCATTTTGTAGATTTGAAAGGGGCCTTTTATTAATTATGAGCCCCTATTCTGTGGATAATAAACTGAGTACTAATGTGAAGTGGTTTGCTTCCTGTTATAGAAATAGTTAATGGCAAATCAAAGCTAGAGCCCTGTTTTGACTTTCCAAGCTGCTGTTCTTTCCAGAGAGGACATTATGGGAGTGGTTATTATGGCCATGCTGCTTTGTAGTGCCATTGTTTTTGACTTTTTTTTTTAATAAGTAAACATGCTTTCTCTTCTTTTTTGGGGATTAGAGAAAAATTTTGGAGAATCGGAAGCAAGGAAAGAGATGGAGAATACGGAGCTTGTTTCTTCCCTGGAAGATGTTCCTCAGGCCAGCAACCCCTAATATATTGTGCTCGCCCTGGCTCCAGGATGTGGGAAGTGAACTTTGATGGGGAAGTTATAAGTACACATCAGTTTAAGAAACTCCTCTCGTCACCACCTCTCCCTGTGATTACTCTAAGGTAATGATTTGTATGGCTGGTAGGGACAATTTAAGGAATTTAATTGCAGGAGTTGTGTTGAATCTCGAATATTCTAGATGAGTTAAAGATTTTACTATGCCTTCTAAGAGTGAAGTAGAATTTTTATTAAAGACTTAGAGAAACCAAAAAGTCTTTAACCACTTATCTTTGGTATGATTAAAGTAGATTGAACAAAGGCAGATGAGTTAGATGCAGCAAAACTTTTCCTATGTAGGGAACAGCATACCATTATGTTGTGATTCAATCATTAACAGACTGTTTACTTCCTAGATCAGATCCTCAGTATGATCATACAGTTGGATCCTCCCAATCTTTGTCTTTCCCCAGACTCTTGCATGTTAGGTAAGTTTCTCCGTTTGATCTTTCAGAAAAAAAAAAACAAAAGCAAAAACAAAAACCACTTTTTCTCTTTGCTTCTTGTTCACAGGCAGTTAGCTTTTTAATTTAAGATTTTATTTATTTGAGAGAGCGAGAGAGAGAGCACAAGCCAGGAGTGAGGCAGGGGGAGAAGCAGACTCCCCGCTGAGCAGGGAATCTGATGCGGGACTCAATCCTAGGACCCTGGGATCATGACCTGAGCCAAAGGCAGACACTTAACCGACTGAGCCACCTGGGTGCCCTGGCAGTTAGCTTTGTTTTTGTTTTTTAAAGATTTTATTTATTTGACAGAGAGACACAGCCAGAGAGGGAACACGAGCAGGGGGAGTGGGAGAGGGAGAAGCAGGCTTCCCATGGAGCAGGGAGCCTGATGTGGGGCTCGATCCCAGGACCCTGGGATTATGACCTGAGCCGAAGGCAGATGCTTAATGACTGAGCCACCCAGGCGCACTCCCGGCAGTTAGCTTTTTAAAAGGTTTTTGTACTAAACTGTTTTTGGAAAATGAGGAGATGCCTATGTTACATGAAGTGTTATAAGAGGAATAAAAAGATCATAGAAATATGCTGCTTTTTTTTGGTTTCAAATTGACCTCAACCAATTGGACAGTCTGTAATTGTCAGGGACATTCTGATAATTAGAGCTAAGAACTGTTGGTACTGTTTCTCTCATAATCTCCCCTACCTGGTGGGAGGTTACAGGGAAAGCAAGTCTCAGACTGAAGTCAGCCACACATGTGTATGTCAGAAACCTAATTGTAGAACTTTTCGTTGTAAGCTTGGTAAGCTTTCAACTCTGTGTCCTTTAGGTGCTCTGACAAGTACCTTGCATGAAAGATCTGCTTGAGGCACATATTCTAACCATATTCTAACATTTTTTTAGACGGGGAGAGCACAGAGGGCGAGTGAGAGGGAGAAGCAGACTCCCTGCTGAGCAGAGAGCCGGATGCGGGGCTCGATCCCAGGACCTTGAGATCATGACTTGAGCTGAAGGCAGATGCTTAACTGACTGAGCCACCCAGGCGCCCCACATTCAGCCATATTCTAACATCAGGGTTCGGCTAGCCTTCCAGTTGGATTAGGTGCAAAAGTCCACTATTAAGTGGCAGCACAGAGTGCCATTAAAGGCTGGGTTTGCCGATTCTTCTATCTTGTTCTACACGTGTGGTAGTGCCGATGTATGATTTCCAGCCAATCTCTGTATCTTGAACTCATTTCATCAGTGGATATTACTTCTAATATCCCTTAGACTAATGTATAAGATCTCTAAAGCAGATTCAGAGAATGTTATTTTAGAGGTTGTTTTAGGATAGTCTGATTGGGTTCTTTCATCAAAGGCTAACTGCTCTTAGAATGTGATTTAAAAAAAAAAAGTCTTGAAATGTTAACTAATTGCCCCTAATGTATGTATATGTCACACTGCCTACACTGACGTATTTAAAATTAAATTGTAGACAATTTAACATATTCCTAATTCGCTCCGAAAATGACTGAGAAAAGATGACTATTTGCTCATAATTAGATAAAGCATATTAAAAACTCTTGCTTTATGGCACGTATTATGATTTATAATTACATATTCATACAACATTTATGTCTGTCTTACTCTTAGACAGTTGCATAAGGGCTTTGTGTCTGTTTTGTTCCTTACATTATTCTCAGCACTTGGCATAGTGTCTGGCACAGGATAGACACTTGCTGACTGTGGTTTGATTTGCGAGGAAGCCCTTTACCCAAGAGTGTGTTTTCTAATGGCAAGGCCACAGTCGGCTTGGTTCTCCTGGTAGAGTTATTCCTTTGAGTTAAGCTATTTAAAGCTCCTGTTACAGTTTCTGCCATAGCCTACAAAGCCCTTGATGATCTGGGTCTGCCTACTCCGCAGCTTAGGTAATAATTAATGCCAGTTTGAAGCCTGTGCTGACTCCTCCAGCAGGATTAGATTAGACACTTACTCCCAGGCGCTATTGTCACATCTTGTTCATTCCTCTGTCACCACCCCTCTTTCACTGTACCATGAATATCCAAGCCAGCACCAGATTGTCAGCTCCTTTGCTATGGGCTCGGTCTTAGGCACACAGAAGGCTCTCAAGTAACAGCTCAGTTAAACAATTCAATAAAGATTTTTTTTTTTTTAAACATGAGTAGGAGGGCTTTTGTTTGTTTACTTTTTTCCCCACCTATATGCTTGTGTCCAATGGTAACCTTTACTGTTACACCCACAAATCCCAAAGGAAGCAAATTTATATACTTTGTTTTCTTTTGGGCAAACAGTATTGCTTTCCCTTCCTTGACTTTTATTTTATTATTTTTTTAAGATTTTATTTATTTGA